TTACGTTGTTCATTTGCTAAACGTTGATTATCATTATAAAGATCATTTTCAAATGTACGTCGTTCACGTTCAACATGTTTTTCAATAATCATTCCAGCTTTAGCTTCAGCAAAACGTCGTCGATTCCATTCATCTTCACGTTGTTGTTCTTCTTCATCACGACGCTTAAAAAAACAAAAAATTTTATCTTTCAAAACAAAAAACAAATATTAAATTTTTTACTTTTTTTTCTTCAATTTGATGTTGTTGTTCTTCACGTATACGACGTAATTGATCTTCATTCATACCTTTCCATCGATCTGGTACAACACGATGAGGTCCAAATTGACTTATAGCTTGATCAGGATTTTCTGTTAATAAATCACTTGTTATCATATTTGCCATTTCAGCAAAATTATCATATTCTTCTTGACGTTTTTTTAATGCACGACGTTCTTCAGTTTCTCGATACTAGACAATCAAATATATGAATATGATAGATAATCTTCATTTTAATTTATATTTATAAGATTTTAAATTTCTCAAAAAAAAAAAAAGATTATGTTATTAATAATGTCAGGGTTTAGTGAAACATGATCTAAAACTAGTATTACAATATCGGAATAGTAATTCGAACCGGCCGCAGACCTAGTCATGGAATTGAAGTCTTCTATAGCATTGTCATGAACGAGAGAATTAAATTTAAGATGTATGTTTTTGGCTTTATTTTAAAATTTACTATAACATATTTCATCATGAACATATCAGTACATTGAGAGTTCCAATGTGAAGTACGTCTTAGAATTCTTACTTATGCAACAAATACATATTCATCATGTTTCTCATTTTATTTTCATAGAAATTGCACTAACAGAATTCTTTTTATCAAAAATATTGATAATCAATATATTAATTACAAATATATTTGAGATAGACTTAGTATTATTCGTACTTTCTATATGTCTTTATCTTCATATATGTCATTGTCAAATTGTCAGTCTTAATAATTACTTTAGAAATATACTTTATTATTCTTTGCTTGGACTTTGAAACAATTTGTAGATTACTAATGTACTTTTATCTTTTATCATCAGATTTAATAGGTCATAAAGATTTAGTTGAGAAACTTTTTTTTTAATCTTTTTGCTATTGAAATATCAAATGAACAGTCTGATATGAATATGTCTAAATTTATATTAATCTATTAACACATTAATGCTTCATGATTTTACTTTGAAATTTTCTTAATAAATTAAATTCTTTTTTCTCAGAAAATTCAAAAAGAACATTTACAATAATGAAAGATTATTTTTGTTTGAGTAAATTTTTTCTTTTAAGTAACTTTTCAGATTTTCTATCTTAAAACATATTGTCAAGATCAATTATTAATCAATCATATTTTCATATTAAGAGTTTTTATTCTTTGACATTCTATTCTACAAAATAACATAATGTACAGATTTTAATAAAGTATTAACAGTAAGATCTTATAATCACAACAATAATAGATTTTCACGAAAAATAAATTTTTCATTGTAACTGATAGATAAATAACTAAATTATTAAAATTTGATGTATGTCGACAAAATCAAAATTTCCTTAAGTAACTTTACCTTCTTTTTATTAAAATAAAAATAAAAATCTGGATAAGTTTTATCTAAGAAATTATATATTTTATAAATAAACAAAAATTCGTCAAACGATCAATTACGTTTGAAATGATTCTTATTTCATTAGTTAGATCCTATTAAAACCTCACTATGAGTCTTTTTTTCTTGAGTTATAACTATTTTACTGGATCTTTTTAAAAAAATATGTCATGACCTTTTTTAAGGATCATCTCCAAGGACAATTTTTCGGTTCAAACTTTCCACAAATAAAGTTCTTGATAGAACGAGTTCATTATGAATATGTGACATTTTCTCGTACTTATACAAATTTCAGATATAAATATTAAGCATAAAATTTTCTTTTTATTCATAATAATAAAATTTTTAATATTGTTATCTCAAGATTTTTCAAAATGAAGAAATCTCATTGAGAATTATATTTATGCAAATATTGAATATAAAAAGAAAAAAATCAATTTTGAAAATGAACTAAGATGATGCATGTTAATTTATTATAAAGTTTACACAAATGGTTATAACTAATGATGAAAACTCTTTAATCACGAACCTCTTTAGAATTTCTCTAGTCTCAATAGGATCTAACTAATGATATTGGATTCATTACTTAACAAGGTTTTCTTGTTAATTCTATTTATGAGAGAACCTCTTCAGATGCCTTTTTTGCAATTTCAATGTTCTTTTTTCTTGCGTACAAATACTACATAGTATTCTAATAAATATCCAAACGTATTTGAATTCCTATTGAGAGTTGGTAGAGCTATTGAATCTTAAATATTGTGTATTTACCAGAGACCTATGTAGAATTTCAAATTTTCAGAAAAGTAATATTTTTGAAATTATCTCAATCTAAAGATCTTAGATATACAGTAACTTGTATGATGCGTTTCAGGGTTTGTAAATTTCGTATCTACAAGATACGAAATCTATAAACTCAAAAACTTTTCATATAAACCTATTGTATTCAAGACTTTCAAATCGAAATGATGTCAAGATAAAATTCAAAAACACTAATTTTTCAAAAAATCTATAACAGAGATGGACAAAATCGCACCGCGCCACCCGGCGCCACTGCTCGCGCCTCAGCGCTACGCACATCTTGCTCTACCAATCAGTTTCTCAAACTCCACCGAATACCGGGATGCTCTAAGCATGCGCTCATCGAAGCTCAGACTAGTGTAGCGTAGGCGTGAGCAACGGCGCGGGGAGGCGCGGTGCGACTTTGTCCATCTCTGATCTATAACCCTAAACAGAGAGGTCTATGAAGCGGCACACAGTTCTACAATTCAATTCCAACTAGGGATCGACAAGCTCAGCTCAATTCCGCTCAGAGGAACTGTTCGAACAGCTCTTTTGAGCTGTGTTCCCAAAACAGAACACTTTTGTTCTTTTATGGGAATTATTTCCCGAAAACGGAACAAAAGTGTTCTGTTTTGGGAACATAGCTCATAGCTCAAACGAATCGGTTCACCAGTTCAGTTCAGCTCAAAAGAGCTGTTCGAACAGTTCCTCTGAGCGGAACTGAGCTGAGCTTGTCGACCCCTAATTCCAACAACCATATATAAATCTTAAGTAAATTGACATATTCAAATTCAGTAACTTCATCAAGTCTCAATAGGAACTGAAGTCTTAGTAGAATGTTATACAATAGTTATAAACTTTTACATTATCTCATATTTGTAAAAATGATGTTTTTGTATTTGAAAATATATAAATTGTTCAATATTTTTTTTTCTTAAACTTACTAAAGCATCATTATAATTTTTAATCGATTCATTAATAGCTTTTCGACATTCTTCTTCAGCTCGTTGTAATTCTACAGAACGTTGATCTAATTCATTTTGTTTAGCATTAAATAATCTATCGGCTGCTTGTTGTTGTTGTTGTGTACGTTGATGATCTTCTTGTTGTAAACGTGACCATTCACGTAATTGTTCTTGTTGATATTTTTTTCGTGCATGTGAATTAAGATCTTCACCTTGAAATTTTTGTAAACTAGCTATACCACAACGTGGATCATCATCAGATACACGTGCTGGCATATCTTTTTTTAAATAATCTGGATCATTTAAATCCCATTCTCCTATTTAGTTTAAAAGAAATTTAATATTAATTTACAAAAAAAATAAAAAGAAATTTTTATTATATTTGATACTTTGTGCAAATGGTTGTTGATGTAATGCACGAAATTCATTTAATGCTCGATTATTTTCTCTTTCATCATATTCTTGACGACATTCAAGTAATTGTGCTATTTTATCATTTCGAATTGCATCTTTAGCTAAATAAATGAAAAAAAAAGAAAAGATTTTTTTTGTACACTTTTTTTTATTTAAAACAAAACAAAATTATGTAAATCTATTTTTACCAAATGCATCTGCACGTTTTTGTTCAAGTTCTTCTAACCAATTTCGATCTTCAATTTGTTGATTTAATGCTTCTTTATCAATCTATATTTTGAAAATAAAATAAAAATAAATTAAAATTAAAAAAATTTATTAATACGAACGCCTATTTGTCTATATTTAGCGTTGAATATTCTTCCTTGTCGTTCTTTTTCTGCTCGACGACGTCGTTCTATAGCTGCTATTTCTTTCAAATCGAGTGGAATATCGAGTTTATACATATTGAATTAATTAACTCACACTCGATATATTTCAAATACAAGTAATAAAAACTTGTAGCAAAAAAAAAAAATAATAAGAATAAATACCGCCATTAACACTTCACATTGTCATGACAATTTGTTACAATATCAGAAAACAATATCGTTTTACAGCGACCTCTGCTAACGTTTTAACATTATAGATTTAATAACTATCTCATAGAGTATGAAAGTGATTGCTATATTTTATTGATTCTATTTAATCAAGAATCAAGTGCAAAAAAAAATGACGGAAGTTAGAGCATTTCAATCTATCACGATTCACATTTCCTTGAATAGTATGTAATACTCATTAATCTTTGAATATCCGATGTTCTTACTAGTTTATCAAAAGCTCTAAATATTAAGTCAATATATTGGATGAATTGTTTCTTTTTCTTTTTTCTCACTTGTCATGATCCGCAATCAATGATAAAGATAAAATCGTTTATTTTTGTCGTTCTTATATAATCAATCAAAGATAATTATATTTCTTAGCAGCTAAGATTCTTATTCATCTTATGAAAACAAACATAAACATACTAACAATGGTTACAAATAAAACGAGTTGGAATGCTAATGCTATATGTTTTATTGTGTTCTATTATTATCAGTAAGATTATTCATTTATTCTATCACAGATTGGAATAACAAAAGATACAATAAGGAATAACTCAATTAATACAATATATCTGATTCGATGTTGATGCCATTTCATACTATATACATATATAAAAATCTTATTTGATATGTTCGTAAAAATTTTATTAATTTATTTGTTTGTTACAGGTAGAATCTTTTATTTTTGTATTGAATTTTGTAATTGAATGAAAATGAATAGGAATTATATGTGATATTGAAATGAATTTAACTCGTACATTATTAAATGCAGATGTTTATGATAAATCTATTCGACCGGCTTTAAATCATCGAGATGTAACAAATGTTTCATTTGATTTATCACTTGCTCAATTAATTGATGTAGATGAAAAAAATCAAATCATAACAACAAATCAATGGATAACTATGGTATATAAACTATAATAGGCATTTTTCTTTTTTAAATAAAAATCTTAATTTGTTTATTATTATTATCATTTCTAATAGATTTGGCGTGATCCAAAATTAAGATGGAATCCATTAGATTGGGATAATGTTAGTTTACTTCATATTAAATATGATAAAGTTTGGTTACCTGATATTGTTTTATACAATGTAAGTGAAGAAAAAATAAAAACATTATACTAATTGTTTTATTTTTCATTTTGTATGAAAATGATTATTAGAATGTATAGAAAAATATTTTAAAAATAATAAATCTTAAAACATATTTTACTATTCTTTTACATTATCTTTTACAAAATGCAATAAGAAAAATAGTTGACATATTTTAAGGAAATGTTTTTGATATAAGATCTTTGATTGTATATCAATAGTATCTGTTTCGGTCAGTAATCAACCGTTTCTAAAGTGTCCACAACGGTCAATTGAACCTGTTTCTATCATATAGACATTCACGAAAATGTTAGTCATTAAGAAAAACTAATTTGTGTATTCACTGTAAAACATTCTATACAAATGAAAAATAATATATAAGAGGCAAAATTTTGTATCTATTTTTATAAATGAATAGTGAAAGAACGTTTTGGTTTACTATTATTGTCATTTTTAAAAAATTGACTTTTGTTTTTTGTTGAAAATTATTCAGCCGGTTTTTTGAAGTTGTTCAAAAAGAATATAAAATTTGATCCTAATCTCCATAATTTGTATCTTAACCAAAACACACTGTAAGGGAGACCAAAAAAAATATTATTCAAACATATCGAGTCAATCATTGCGTTCAAACACTGATTTTTAGTTATTTCAATGATTCTAGTACGTCTCTTGCACAATATTATCTACCGAGTTTTTGAATTGATATTCGAAAAGAGTACAATACTTCGGTCATTTCAAGACGAAATATGACATCTACACTCTCAAACTTGCCTTAAATCCACAGTTTTTTTTAAAACCATGTACTGTTTAACCTGCTAATGGATATAAATAAATAAAAAACGCTCTTCACTTTCAGTGTTTTATCCAGGTTTTTTTCTCTGGAGGGATGATTTGAAATTCCGGGAGGACAAGCCATATAGTTCATCGCGAGTTTCGGGGGGGGGGGGGGGGGGGGGGGCGAACTCGATTTTCGAGGGGGCGCCGGGCACTTCTCTGGATAAAACACTGTTCACTTTAACATGAATACTTACGCTTAAATATGTTTTTTCTTTTGAGTTGAATCTTTCAAAAGAAAGCTTTTTTGATCTGACTTATAGTCTCTCATTCATCTAGATTGTTTTCAATTGGATCAAAACTGAATAAACATTTTTTGCTACATTTTAGAATGCTGATAAACTTGCTTCATTAAGTCAAATATCAACAAATGTTATGGTTTCTTCTGACGGTATAATTACATGGTTATCAACAGGTATTTTTCAAAGTTCATGTTCAATTGATGTTCGTTATTTTCCATTTGGTAAAATAAAATAAAATAGATTTTCAGTAAAATATTTAATTATATTTATTATTATTTATTTTTTTTTTTTTGTTATTTTTTAAATAGATGAACAAAATTGTACATTAAAATTTGCATCATGGACTTATGATAGTGCTCGAATTGATTTAACACAAAAATCAAATATTGGTGATTTAAGTAATTTTATGGCAAATTCAGGTTTCAAAAATAAAATTCTTATTTTTTCTTTCGTAGTTTATTTTACATTTTATTTTAGAATGGGAAATTATTCGAGTACATATCAAAAAAAATGTTGTTAAATATTCATGTTGTAAGTTAAAAAGATAAATTTTAAACAAACAAACAAAAAACAATATTTAAAATAAATTATAGGTGAAGAAACATTTCCTGATCTAACTTATACAATACAAATGTGTCGTCGTCCATTATTTTATGTATTTAATATGATGCTTCCATGTTTTCTTATAACAATTGTTGCTTTTCTTGGTTTTTGTGTTCCATCTGATAGTGGTTTGTTTAATAATGTTTTTTATTTAAATTTAATATAAAATATGTTTTATTTCTTGTTTTTCAATTAGGAGAAAAAGTTTCAATTGGTGTAACAACACTTCTTTCAATGACAGTTTTTCTTATGCTTGTTGCAGAAAGTATGCCACCAAATTCAGATGCATTACCATTAATTGGTATGTTAATAGACAAAAAAAAAGATTTAAAAAAAATTTCTCTGAGTTTTTTTCTAATAAAATTGACACAACATAATTATAGTTCGTTGTTATCACTTAGTAGTAATAAGTATATTAAAGGATGTACATTTTTGTTTTTACGCATAAACGAACAATAAGGATACTTTGAAAATTTTCTCTCATATCGGATTTTGTAGAGCTTTTTTCGCTGATCATTTTAGTAAAAAAAGTTTTTGATTTTCATTAAGAATAGTAATTATAGAGTTTTGTTCAGTTTTTTATGCTCTTTCATATGAAAGAGTTGGAATTTAAAAAAAAGTCAAAAGTTTATTAATTAATTGCTAATTATTATTAATTATTAATTAAGTAATTAAGTACTTGTTACCAAAATGTAGCTCATTAAATTCTGCGTCGAATAATATATAGAACATCTTTCAGATGTTGTGAAATAACGTAAAAATTAGCCAAATACTGAAAGTGTGCTAAGCTTTTTTTCCCTACTTTATATTACAGTGTTTAGTATTTTGACTATAACATCGTCATTACTAAATGAAAACCAAAAAACTTTTTTACCAAAATAATCAGCGAAAAAAGCTCTACAAAGTCCGATATGAGAGAAAATTTTCAGAATATCCTTATTATTTGTTTATGCGTAAAAACAAAAATGTACATGCTTTTTTGAGCCCTCACTGTACTGTATGAAAACAGGTCAGTTTTTTCCAGCTTGTTCTAATTTGTAAACATTTTATCAATAGTTTCACACAAACTAGATGTGAAAGATCAGTATAAAATCGACTTTTTTTTGTAACACTCTATAAGCGTCAACTTTTTCGTAGAACGTGGAATAGGTATTTCAAAAAAATAATTAAACTTGATTTACAGCTATGCTGATATCATGTCTCGTTATGAACAGATTGGTACCGTTCTTAATAATATCTACCAGTTCATTAGAGAGTTGCGGGCCCATGTTTTTTTGGACCCGGGCCCCAGAAAAACTAAATTTTCAGACCTGGACCAGACCCGGACCCGGTTGGGACTAGACCCGATCCTTTTTTCATCAATATTCGGCACCCTATGTGTATATGAACAGAAAAAGGAACACAATTTTAGCTCTTTATTGACGACTTTAAAGGTAAAATGAGTGTAAAATTATTTCTGACTGTTTCTTTTTCAATTTTGTTGACTTCAATTGTTATTGTTATATATTTCCATTCATAACTTAATGCAGACCGGGTCTGGAAGGACCCGCAGCTCTCTACAGTTCATACAAAGGTTCGAACTTTCGAGTAAGATCTAGCAATAGTGCATAATGCGTACATCTATAAATAGTAACAGTTACTGATTGATTAAGACAAATAACCTATATGAAAAAAGTCATTTCCTCCCAATTGTTAATGAAGTGATTTACACGAAATACATGACATCCTTTATATTCAAGCATATTTTTGTACAATACTCTTTTCATAGTAGAAAAAAAAGATCATATAAAATTTTGACCTAAAATCAGATAGTTCAAACAATTATTCTTTCAGGTGTCTATTATCTTTCGGCAATTATTATTGTAAGTATAGCAACAGCTATGTCTGTTGCTTCACTTAATTTATATCATCATGGTAAAAGAAATATTTATCCTGTACCAAAGTGGATAGCTCAATTATTTTTTTTTATTATTCCTAAACTTCTTTTTATGAATATTGATTTATCTGCACATTGGCAACAACGACAAAATAGTATTCGTAATTCTACGGTAACAAAAAAAAAAGAATGAGATTAAAATGAAATTTCAGTATTTCATTATTTTTATTTAAGCCAATATCATCAAGAAAAAATCGATATAAATATAATTATACAAATACAACAAAAAAAACAAATTCATTACATAATGGTCCAATAACATTTGATGATGAATCTTTTGAACATGATAAAATAACAGTAACATCATCTGATAATATTCATAAATCATCAGTATCACTTATTCTTCGTCCTTATACATCTAAACAACAAATACAAAAATCTACTACTACTACTACTAATAATAATAATGTTAAATCATCAATTCATTATATACATCGTCTTATTGAAAAAAATGAACATCGATGTGAAGAACAAGAACATAAAATAAGAATTGTACAAGAATGGCAAATATTAGGACAAGTTGTTGATCGTTTACTTGTTTATATATTTTTAATTTGTACAATTCTTGTATTTGGTTTTATTTTACTTCAAGCACCACGTTTAAGATTAAAATAAAAATAAAAAATAAAAATATATCATCGAATAATCTATTTATTCATTTCATTCATTCTCACTTATTATTACTCTGTTAATGAGAATAATTGTTTTCGAGTACAAACTCTATACATAAGATAGATCTCAGTAAAAATTCCAAAATGATAACCGTTTTTTAGATCTTCTCTCCAGAGTTATAGTCATTTTATTAGAATCTTAACCTATAGGATGGAATTCATTAACATATTAAATGATCGTATTTTGAGCTGAAAATTTCAGATCTAAATACCACCATTCAATATGTAAGTGGTATACCGTTCTGTAGGGTTGGAATTTCATCCACAGAGTCCCAAACTCAAATCTATTTATCAATTGGAATAGTTTTCTTATAAAAATGAATTCAAAATAGTATCTGTGTAGTTTGTTTGGCGTACAGCCTATGTTCTATGATACTCTTGAGAATCGACAGTAGGTTGTTGGTATACCGTAATAGAATAGCCGTTAGAAAATAATCGATCAATCAAGTTTTAACCTACTGCTGCTTGATTGTCGGTATACCGACGATTTTCTTCGGTTTGAATCACATGGATCATTAACTGAATGAGTTTTCTACAAAACTACATCTTTTTATTTATGTAAATAAAATTGATTATTATATTGAAGATGAACGTAAAACGAATAGTTCAAGATAAAAGAGCTTCTCTAGAACAACTTTTTATCGAATTTATTACTCTACATCTTTCAACTACTGAATAACAGTCGAGATTACAATATTTCAAAAATATTTTTTATTTTTATTTTAACTGTTACATTATATAAAAGCATAAGACTAAAAAGTAATTCGATTAAGATTGAGTAATGTATTCTATTTGAGAATATATCATGAAGTTGGAAGCAATATTATTCTACTAGAAGAATTCATTTTTAATGAATGAGCATACATTATTATAATAGAAAAGCATTCATGTATGTGTATCCACAGTCATGACATTTGAAACCAACACTATGCATCATTCCAGTGCCATCAGCAATAAGTAAATAGATACTTAGAGAAATTTGTCGAACTATAGAAGCAGAAAGATACTAAATGAATCCTGATTCACTTGTTTTTTTTTTGGTAAAAATTTTTTTGTTTTATTGCTGTTTTCGATATTGCATACATTTATTTGGATCAGAGTATAAAAATGGTCAAGTCCGGTTATAAAAAAAAAGTCATATTCATGCAAGATATTACATCATAATCATTCGAATTGATAGATATCAATTTATATAGAGTCCTACGAAAATGTCAAGTCTTTTTTGCACAATTTGTATCGGATCTCATCGTATAATTTCTAAAGGAAAATTCTTTTTTTTTTTCCTAATAAAAGTGTTAATTATTATTGCCTTTTGGATTTTTTTTTTTCTAAGGTTTCCGATGAGTAACGAATCTATCAAATATATGTGAAGTAATTAGGAAGTGCTGCAAACCTTAAAGAACGTGGAGACATGTTCTATATTTTCTTTTCATAGCAATGTTCATTTAATTATATAATTATTTTGACAGTGTTATATCAAACGAGACGCCTTTTGACATAAGTAGGCGTACTCTTTTCTTTCTTTGGCTCATTTATTTTACTTTTATAATGATTAATTTCTTCTTCATATCTTTTGTCTATGTAGGTTACTAGTAATATTGATATGAATGTAGATCTATGACATAAATAACGACAGTTCATATGTTCCTTTTTTTTTTATACTAAATTCAAAGTGTTAGATACTGTCAAAAATATGCGCAAGTCTTTATTTGATCTGCTATAATTGATAACATATAATAGACTATGATCAATATGTTTTACTAAATATACACAATGATTTTCAATGACATATTTTGTTTGTTGGTTTCTTTAAAACGATTTTTATTTAAATATTTTCTTGTGCGTTCTGTATTTCTCAGCAGTTTTAAATGTTAAGAACCTGAAGAGAAAATTGCACTTCATAACTCAACAGAGTCGGATTTTTATTTTTCAATTAAATTCTTGAGAAAAATCGATGTTCTATTTTCACAGAATTAATTCTAATTTTTTCTTAAAAAAAAATGATACAATTTTTTTTGTCAAACTTTGTAAGTCTAGGACGAAAATAAATTTTTGACATAGATGATTGAAACCTTAATTTATTAAATTTTAGTAGAACTCATTACATCTACTATGAATAAAAAAATTAAAAAAAACAGAATCTAAACAAATAAATATAATATGAGAATCATTTTTAATTTAAATACTCATTGTTCTTTTCACTTTCTTTCGTACATTTCATAGCTTAGTTTTTGGATTAAACTAATTCTTTTTTGTTATTCTATATAATAGATTAGATCTCTTTCAATAGAAAATGTACGTAAATTTTAATAATTTTTTTGTTTCTTCTTTTAATTATATAACGAAATTAAAGTGTAATAACGTAAAAAAAGTTCTTCTCGTCTTTTTAGCTTATTAATGATCTATCTAATTATATCGTATTGTTTTTCTTTAGATTAAAAAGTATATCTATATCTATATATATTTATCTAAAAATAATGAATAATTGAATTATTTATTAAAAGAAATGTTATTTTATTAATGAATTTATTTTTAAAATTTTTCTCATATAGCAATTATGTATGTGAATTTAAAATTGTTTTTGTCTTTTTTTTATTATTATTCAGATTTAGTTATAATAAATAGACTTGTTAATATATACATGATTAGATCTTATTTCTATTCGAAATAGAAAAAAAAGAAAAAAACGTTTTTTTTTTTTTTCTTTTTCTAAACACTTCATTATGAATATAATTATGTAATTGAAAAAAAGAAAATGTATGCTTGCTGTTGTTGTGTTTTTTTTAAAAAAAATGTTTTCAATTAATATAAAAAGGATTTTTAAATAGAACATAATGTTAAATTAATGTATTCTATAATTATCTATCAGAAAAGCCCCTTGAGTAATAAAATTCTCAGATCAGATACAAGACAAAAGAGAAAAAAAAAAAAAACAAAAAGGGTCATGGAGTGAATATTATTTGATACGAATGAATTCATCATTGATGAACTTCATCGTTAATATTTGTCTTTTTCTTTCATTGTTGTCTTTTTGAAGTATGTTAATTAATAAAATCTTTTTTTTTGTGTCTCTTGATGATAGAATTTTTTTTTTTTTTTGCATATAATAAATGTCAAAAAACAAATGTGGTTATATAAGAGAAAAAAAATAGGGTCAGTACGTTGGATTTGTTTTTTTGCTTTTATATTAGCTACATTACAGTTGACTGAATAGATAAGAACTGTTACATGAAGCGACTAAGACAATGCCATGTGTGTTCTTGAATATATACTAAGACATTAAAAAAATGTTTCACAATACTGATGAATATACGCTTTTTTTTTTTTTTTTTTGTTTCTTTATATTAAAGCAAATTCAAGATGAGAATTACAAGAAAAAAAAAAGATTGAAATGCTATTTTAAGTATTATTCTTTCGTCATCATAACAAACATTTAAAAATAAATAAAGACGGATATATATATATATTAGAGTCCTTTGAGATATAGTTTCTAATGTCATCAATATCTATTTTCTCTTCTTGAAAAAAAAAGAACAGAAAATGATGATAAATATTCTATTTATTTTTAATAATTTCAATTTTTCATCAATAAATTTTTATTATGTTTTTAGAATGAATATATTAATTAACATAAAATAATAGATCTATTCAAAAGTAACTAGTTTTTTTTTTAATTTAAGAATTGCAAAAATGGATTAAAATTCAACTCATAGGACTCTAATATATACATATAGATTAATACAATCATAACAACATCAAACGATATATATATATATAAATAAATGTTTTCATTTTCACTGGTATAATCGAAAATTAAAAAACATCACCGCACACTGCGTGAACCGGACATAAATGAACAAAACAAAACAAAGATTACTGTTACATAAATCCATCTGTTTCAATAGTTGATTCTGTAGCTCGTTTTACACTTTTTCTTCCAAGTAGATATTCATCATTTGTACTACTATTTGAACGATAATAACCACTAGTTCGTGGTTGTTGATGTAAAAATGGTCGATTTTCATGTGATGAATATATTTCACTTGTACCACTACCAAGTGAATGTTTTGGTTTATAATGTTTATGTAAAAGTTTTTTAATTTCATGTCGAAATATTGATGATGATGCAAAACAGAAAACAAATGATGCTGCATAATATGTATTAATTAAACATTGATAAATATTTCCTTGTATTATAAATGATTTATATTCATCATTGGATTGCATGTCACGTTGAGGATCAAATGATAAAGCATAAAAGATTTGAGCTGGTGCAACAAGTGCTAAAAAGCCAACATTTGATGCGAGTAACATTGTTGTTACACGTCTTGTACGACTTTTTGAACGTGATTTGAGATGTTCATTATTAATTGGATTTAAAAATGAATTTTGTATAATGAATATATTTAGAACTAGTGATAATATAGATGGCTAAAAAAAGAAAAAAATAATAATAAGCAAATAAGAATTTGTATTATTTTTCTAGAGAATCTATAATCAGTCTGTTTATATAAACAGTTATTGTTTCTTGTTTTGTAAAAACAAAAGAAAAAAAAGCTACATAGATAAACTCGATAATAAGATTAGATTTATCAAAAAATCCCTATTGACTTTTTTTTCCGAGAATAAAATGCTGCATTTTGTGTTCTGTTTGTACTTGAACTATATGTAATAAAATTATTCAAAAATATATATTAGAAAAACATACCACGATAATATATGTTACAAGTTCATACCATGTATTTGTTGATGCAAAAAAACGTTGAATACTATTTTCACTATGTTTATCAAATATACATGCTAAAAATGTTGTATTTTCAGCTAAGACAACTTTATTTCCAGTAAATACAAGATAATGTAAATTTAATAATAAAAGAATAAAACCAGTTATAATCATTGTATATAAAACAGTATGTTTATTATTATTTCTTGTTGTACGTCGAA